TAAAAAAGTCAGAAACAAAATAACGGTAACCCTTTGAAACAGTAAAATTATGTTTCGTATCCTGCCAAACATGTATAATGATGCTAGGTCTATTAAACAAATAGTCCTAGTATCCATATTAACTTGATAGTGAGAGATGTGAAGTGTCACATTCACAATAAAAGCAAATGCCACACACACAATGGGGAATGCTTGGCTGGGTATCAGTGCATGGAAAAAAATAACGGTTTGGTCAGCCACCAAGCTCCAGGAGGCCCTAATGAGTTAGCTGCTCCATAGTCAGGTGTGGTATAATTGGAGATGCACGTGTGTCACGAAGCTGCATTTCTGTTTCCTGGCAGTGGGTCCTCAGAACGTGGCGATGGCTCGTGTGTGCATGAGAAGGCTCGAGCACCGTGTGTAGCAGTAAATGTCCCTGATCTCAGAAATGAATACAGACCAGGAGGAGTGTTCACACAATGAATTAATTAAAATGAATGAAGTAAATCTATATAAATCTTTAAAATGCTGATTAAAAAAAGCACGCTGCAAAAGGATATATGGATGGTACAATACCACTTGGGTGAATTTTTTAAATTCACAAAACAAACATAATAGAAGCATAAAAACCTGAATGGGAGAAATTTATATCAACCTGAGGGGAGAGGGATGGGAATAGGATGGAGGCTTCAGTTGTATCGGAAATATTTTATTTCATTTCTTTTTTTTTTTTTAAAGATTTAATTTTTTTTCCTTTTTCTCCGCAAAGCCCCCCGGTGCATAGTTGTATATTCTTCGTTGTGGGTCCTTCTAGTTGTGGCATGTGGGGCGCTGCCTCAGCGTGGTCTGATGAGCAGTGCCATGTCCGCGCCCAGGATTCGAACCAACGAAACACTGGGCCGCCTGCAGCGGAGTGCGCGAACTTAACCACTCGGCCACGGGGCCAACCCCGTCATTTCTTGAAAAATGTTTTAAAAAACAGCAAAAGTGTTAACGTGTGATAGGTGACTAGCGGGTTCGTGGGTAGGTGCTGTTTTATTTTCTACACTTTTACTATATAATGGAAATGTTTCATAGCTTTAAAAGAAAGTATTTTAAACACATAAGCATGTTTAACTAAATTTTAAATAATTTTAGCTTCTTCCAAATTTTTTTAGTTATTTACTTGGCGAGGAAGATTGCCCCGAGCTAACATCTGTTGCCAGTCTTCCTCTTTTTGCTGGAGAAAGATTGTGCCTGAGCTAACATCTGTGCCAGTCTTCTTCTATTTTGAATGTGGGACGCCTGCCACAGTGTGGGTTAATGAGTGGTGTGTGGGTCTGTGCCCAGCATCCAAACCCGCAAACTCTGGGCTGCCAAAGCAGAGTGTGCAAACTTAACCACTATGCCACCGGGCTGGCCCCCTAAATTTATTTTTTAAATATATATTATGAGTAATATATTCTATTAAATAAATTTCAGAAAATTAGAAAAAATAAATTACTCAGAATTTCATCACCCCAGTGTTGTTAATGTTTTGGTATATTTCCTTCCACTTTTTCCTCTGTGTGGGTGTGTGTGTTTAAACATACTTCTAAGCATCTTGGGCACACATATTGAATTCCGCCTTTTTCACTCATTGTAGCATCACCCTTTTTCCGTGTTATGACTTAGCCTCCATGATCATTTCTATTGATTTCTAAAGGTCTTCCCCAGTTGACTTAGCCAACACCACTTTTGCATACAAGCGGTTAAGAACATTCAACAGTCATACAGTCAGTATTCATAAACATCCTTTTGAAAGCTGCAGGAACAGGATTGGGTCCTGTTCTGCTGTTGATTCCCACAAGGCTGTTTTGTGTGGGATGACAGTAAAAAGGTCTGTCACATCTGTGATATCACATTCCAGCAAAGACTGCACTCGTTGGCGTTCATCCCGTGGGTGGGAGCTGCACGTATTTAAAAAGCCTGCTCTGTGTATCTTGTCTGCTAAGAAACAAGCGCTGGCACATCCAGCATCTGCTCTGCGCTCCCAAGCCTGCAGCTGGGGACTGTTTGCTGATTCTGTTCAACTCTTTTTGAGGCCTGGGTAATAGCAGAAATAATTCTTCCCGGTATGCGTGTGCCCCTGCCCAGCTTGTGGATGCTCTCACCTCCATTGCCACCTGATCCCTGAGAAGTGAGGTGCAGAGTAGGCACCTGGCTGTTGCTGGATTACAGCCTGTCATTGGGAAAGTCAAGAACACTGCCCGAGGCTCCTGACTCCTTCCAGAACTCTTTTCAGTTACAACCCTTAGACCCAGGCAAGAGGAGCATGTCTGCCACTATCCCACTCCTAGGCCACTCTCTGGGTCCCTGGAATTCCCCAACAAATGGCCCTGAGCACTTCCAGGGCCTGCACGAACCTGTCTGTCTTCCTGGGGTCATGTCAGCAGTGCGTGCACACCTGAGCCCACGGGCAGCAGTTTGCAGAGGGCGGACAGAGCTTAGCGGGCTGCAGGCTGAACCCAGGGTTGGGGCTGTAGGCTGGGGGCAGGTGCAGAGGCTGAAGGCCAACATCCCCTGCAGTGTAGCTCAGAACTGCAAGGTCTCTCAGAATTCTGAATTCAAGGCTGGCCTTCTCCGTCATCATGAAGACATAGCTGTCCGAGTAGGAGGATAGAATATATTCTGTGTAACAGTTTGTTAGCTTGATCCGTAACTTTTAATGGTTTAGAGATTCTGCTTTTCTTTTCTGCTCTTGCCCTGGGACCCACAGATGCTAAGAAGGGGCTTGGCTCTCTTATCAGCTGTTTCCAGGTTCCCTTTTTTTCTACCCAAGGCTACAGACATCCTGAGGGAGTGCAAAGGAAAGCAATTTAGAACCACAGAAAAAATAAAACAATGTAGTGTGTAAAGATCTCAATATATCAGACACCCCCATATCCACATATAAAAGCAAGAAATGCATTTCAGGACAAAATAGAGTAAACCACCTGCTGTGGGAATGAATCAGCCTGGCACGATCCAGCAAAATCAGAAACAGGAGCCAGCTAGTAAAGCCACAATCTGCTGCTCTTCCCCTTCTCTCCTTTCTCTGCCTCCCCTGACACGGTTCCTCCACTTGTGAGCTAGCCCCCTCTCTTGGTTGCTTTGAGCCATGCAGGAAACCAGACCCCTGGGTTTCCCGTGACAACATGGGGAGCAGGGTCAGCGTGGAAAATCAGTGTTGCAAGAGTTTTCGTTTTAATTGTTGTTTAGCCACTGAACTAATTTTTTTTCAGTCCCTTATTCCCCAGCAATATTTCTGATTTAAGGATTTAACTGAACAGAGAAGCATGAAATCATTAAAACAGTTGCACTGTGCTGTTTTTCTCCCCTACAGAAAACAGAGATAAATGACTAAGCTCTGAATTCTTATGCACAGTGGGACAACACTTTACTAAGTCCATTGTATTAGGGATGTTTCCCTTGACTTTCACCACTCTCCAGCAAGGGGACTATTCCCATTGTAAAGGTAAAGAATCTGCATCAGAGAGGTTAAGTAACCTGGCTGAGGTTATCCAGCTGGGAGGTGGCAGCAGGGACTCACCTGGGGCTGATTCCAAATCACTATAAGGATCCAAATAGAAGAGTAGCTTTTGTTGAAACTTTTATTCATCAAAGAGGAGAATTACCTTATGTCAGAGCCCTCACAAAGCCTCTCATATTACAGGGCCCTGTCTCATTTGTTTTAGTCTTGTTATTTTTTTTAAGTTTCTTTTGCTCAGGAAGATTGGCCCTGAGCTAACATCTGTGCCAATCTTCCTCTCTTTTTTAGTATGTGGGCCACCAGCACAGCATGGCCACTGACAGTGTAGGTCTGCACCCGGGAACCAAACCTGGCTGCCGGAGCAGAGCACACCGAGCTTAGCCACTAGGCCACTGGGGCTAGCCCTCATTTATTTTATTTTAATAAAGTTTTGTTTGAGAACAACACATTAACCTGAAATAGCCATTGGTCAATGCTGGTTTTGGTTTTTTAAAGTTTGTGTGTATGTGTTGGGGGGGCATCTTTAATACAGATTTAGTAATTACTCTTGTGAATATGCTTTGTGATTGCAAATGAGGCTTTTTTTTTTTTTTTTTTTGAGGAAGATTAGCCCTGAGCTAACTGCTGCCAATCCTCCTCTTTTTGCTGAGGAAGACTGGCCCTGAGCTAACATCTGTGCCCATCTTCCTCTACTTTATATGTGGGATGCCTGCCACAGCATGGCTTGCCACCCGGTGCCGTGTCTGCACCCAGGATCCGAATCAGTGAACCCCAGGCCGCCGAAGCAGAACGTGCACACTTCACCGCTGCGCCACCAGGCCGACCCCTCAAACGAGGCTTTTTAAAGATTTCTTTTTAAGTAGTATCTTGTGGAGATTGTGAATAGGATAATTTTTCACTGATAAATCATACAGGAGCCTAAAAAGTGCTCCATCTCCAACAAGATAGATGGAAATGAAGTTAATGTGCTTGGAAAAACTAAAGACAAAGACTTGAGGTTGAAGATGCACATGAAAACTTTGACTAGAATTATTTCATGAAATGTGACAGAATAAAACAAAATGGTATATCCAAATTAACATTTTATTCATTATAGTTTAAATATGTGTGTAACTAAATTAATATTCTAAGTAGACATTTGATCATATGTTATATTATACATTTGATTGTGTCATCTATGTGTTCATCTTGGCCAAAAATCGTTTGGGGGGATCTTCTCATTGGGAAATGGGTTGGCTGAGGCTTGGGTGACACAATAAGTGGTCTTTCAAAGCACCAAGCTACACTCAGGATGAGACAGAAGCAGGTTTGTGTGCCGGATCCATGTAATGATGAAAGTCACACCGTGGCTCCTCTGTGTCCAGACAGCTCCTTACCGTTTCCCAAACATTGCTACACTTGGCCTCACAGCCTCTTGTGCGGTGGGGTCTGTGGTTATCCTGAATGTTCACCTGAGGACCCCATGTCTCCCCACGTCAGTGACTTGGCTGCAGGTAGAGATGTGACGAGACTGCTTTTCCTGCCCCCTCAGGCGGCGCTAGTTGGAGGTACCACCATGATCATCGGCCACGTCCTGCCTGACAAGGAGACCTCTCTCGTGGATGCCTACGAAAAGTGCCGGGGTCTGGCCGACCCCAAGGTCTGCTGTGACTACGCCCTCCACGTGGGGATCACCTGGTGGGCGCCCAAGGTAACAGTGCTGGGTGGAACCCCCAAAGAACAGCAAGCGCTCTTTTAGGCAGAGGGGCCATTGGTTGGAGCCAGCTGGACTGTGGTGCTCTCCTGCAGGTGTGGAACACCCCTCCCTCCACCATCCGAACTCCCCTAATGCCAAAAGAAAAAACGCTGATGATTCCATAAAGGGGAGAGTGCACTTGTTCTACTTAATTTGAAGAATCAGTTTTCCAGCAGACACAAAGGGTCTAAGACCAATGTCCTCGGGAGCGCTGGCTCCTTGCTCTGACCACAAGGCTCTCAGCATCTCCTGATGCTTTGTATGAGGTGCCACCAACACCTGCAGGATGCTCCTTAGTAGTGGGCTCAGCAAGGGTCAGGCTCCGAGGGTTGGATTTCATGCTGGGAGTGACAGCACTGAGCTGAGGTCTCAGACGGAGTGTCCTGTCCTGGCTCAGCGCCGCCTGGTACGAATAGAGTGGGACACCTCTTCCCTACTGGGGCCCAGCTCCTGCTCTGAGAGCCCTGAGGCTGCTCCTGGTGTGTGGCTGAGGCTGGCTCCCATGGAGCCCCTTCTCCGTTCAGCCTCTGTGTCCCTGGCCCCTGGCTCTTCTGTCATCCAGGTGCCCCAGGCCCCAGGGCCAGAGTCCCGTCCCCTCCCCCTGGATTCCCACTTCCTTGCTCCTCCCGAAAACAGTTGTACAGGCATATTTAGATTTTGCTTCATTTCTGGAGTTTTACTGTTATTCCCCCAGGGAAGCAGCCTGGATATTTGTTCTTTCATCAATTGTTTATTAGTCACTGTGTGCCAATACTCGAGTGGGTACCCTAGAATCAAAATTAAGCAAGTATTAAGAAAGTTCTCCAGCTGTGGGCCTTCAGCTGTGAGTCTAAAGGGCCTGACTCCCTTCTGAGGTGGTAATTAAAGCCTCGCTCTACTTCTCCCCTCAGGTCTTAGCCTTGAGTGTGGGGCTCCCCCAGTCTCTTCCATGGTTTCCAACCTGCTGCTTATGAAAGGCCTTAGAGCGCCCCAGCCCTCACCCCGTGAAGACCTCCCCGCTCTTGGTACTGGGCTAAAGCTGCAGACCACGCTGAGTGTCAACCATCCCATATCTCGGTGGAGGTTCTGTCCATTTCGGACGCCCTCCTGGGTGCGTGACCCCTACCCTCAGCCTCTTGCTGTTGTTCCCTCCCCTACTGTTGGCCTGGAATAGAGAGTCCACGCAGCTTCTCAGCAGCACTAAGCCCAGGCCAGCCACCCCTTTGTCCCTAGAGGTGGTGGGGACTTCCATGCATCTAGAATTTAAAATTCTTTTCATAAGAATAAAATAATTTTTTCTAATTACAGATTTTTCAAATAGAAAAGCATCACTTAATTGAGTCACTCTAACACAATCACTACTGTTATTTTAGCTTGTTTCTTTCTAGTCATTTTTCATACATGGCGACTCGTTCACTTAAGTGTGAGCATTTTCTGTGTGGCTGCATGGTCTTCCTGACCATCAAGGCGATGGCCGCCTAGTGTTCTGTCAAGTAGATGTACTTCAATTTGTTTTCGTATTGTTGGACGAAGGTTACTTCCGTTTTTTCCTAATATAAATAATGTTGGGATGAACCCTCTTATTCGCATAGCTCTGTTCATGTTTGACTTTGTTCCTAAATTAGATTTTCCCCAGGGTCTCTGGATTTTTAGCATTGTTGTGCTTTCTTTGTAACACTGTTCCCATTATGGAGGAGGGGGAACAGGTCGTAGGAGTGAAGGTCATTAGTGCACTTACTGAGAAGGCTGATTTGGAGTCAGAAACCCAGGACGAGCCTATGCGATAGGAGAAACATGCCTAGGAGTAACCATACAATTCCTATGTTTGTGTCCTGCTTGACAACTTTCAAAGTACTTCTGCATCCTTGGCTCACTTGACCTCACAGCAGCCTGTGCAGTGGAGGAAAGGGAGATACTGTGAGGTCGCAGGAGGTCATATAGTGACTCCACTGACTGACCCACGTCTCCTCCACGCTGGGCCAGCATCTGCGGTCGGCCTCTTGAACATCTGTACGCACGTGGCATTGCCTTTGCATCTTGCTCTCCAGGTGAAAGCAGAAATGGAGACACTGGTGAGGGAGAAGGGTGTCAACTCGTTCCAGATGTTCATGACCTACAAGGACTTATATATGCTGCGGGACAGTGAGCTGTACCAAGTGTTTCACGCCTGCAAGGACATTGGAGCGATTGCCCGAGTCCATGCTGAAAATGGGGAGCTCGTGGCCGAGGTAAGGTGGTAGAGAATGTTGGGGGTGGGGGGCCTGGGTGCCAATAGAGATGGTTCTCGGAGAGATTCTTGACCACCCATCACCCATCCCACAAGGTTCAGACAAAACAAGTTGTAAAAGAAAGTGTGAGATGTTAACACCTCGGACAACAAATCTTTGTGAGAAAATCCACACTTTTTTACTGTCTGTAGGAAACAAATCTCTCTTTATAGTCCAACAAGTTTTCTAAGTCTTAGATGATGATCTCTTAGTTCTAATGACAAGATATTGAAATTCCATTATAGCAAAAGAATTTGAAGCACCTCTAAGAGATATTTGTAATGAGATCCGACATACAGAATAAATGAGTCAGTTTTCCACTTTCCTGTACTAGCCAGAGGAGCTGAGATGTTAGAGATCTACTCACTGGTATATACTTTTAGGTCTTGACTAGGAAGCTTGGGGTCAGGGTTAGCCTAGGTGTGGCTGGAAGCTAGAGATTGGACTAGATTTCCAGTGGGAAAATTCTGACTTTCAGATCAATAAAGAGCTCTTGTCTTTGGTGTCCCAGGCCTGATGGCTAGTTATGGAACTATATTTTTAAGAGGAAAAGATACGTCCAGTCAATATGAAGTGAGCCTCAGGGGAGCCTTACTGCGAGGGAGCCCTGTACTTATTCTGCCCTCTTCAGAAGATGAATAGCGCAGAAGTGAGAGAAGTAGCCAGCCTACGGGAGGGGCTGTGTCTAGCATATTTTACTGTTCGTTGGCTTCATTATTTTCTTGTACGTCTATGATTCTCTCAATTTTCTTCCTTTTGCTATTATTCAGGGTGCTAAGGAGGCGCTAGATTTGGGTATCACAGGCCCAGAAGGAATCGAGATCAGCCGTCCAGAGGAGGTGAGGAAGACATCCTGTGTCCTTTGTCAGCTCCTTTCCTGTAGATTCACAGAATCTTTAGGATAGAAAAGGTATCAGTAACTATAGGTTGTATATTATCGCTTTCTCCATGGGTGAAATTCCCATCTGGAAGCTTCCCAGGGAACAGCTTCCTCCATGCTGAGGCTGACTTGGCCTTGAGCTTCCTTGAGAAAGACAATTCAGGGGAAACCAAACACACCTCATTTGATTCTGATTTCAAGGATCTGAGGGAGACGATGTGAGCATGCCTGGGGTTGCGTTGCCCAAAACTGAATCAGGAGAAAAAAGACAGACTGAAAGTGCCTTCAGATGTTAGAAGACGTTCCAGACTGTAAGCCACCGACTCAGCGTTTTGGGGATATCATCCCTTTAAGCATCTGAGGAAAGCTTTGGGCCCTTCCCACCAGAAGCCAGAGGCACATATGTGTCCATACTCCCTCCCCCTTATTACCTATTACTCACTGAGATGGTAATTCAGAGCCTTGCTGTCCTCGTGCCCTCTGGCTTTATCCTTGCACAGTTTCATGGGGCGTCGATACCAATCCCATAATCCCCCTGCTGAAGAATTCTCAGGAGGGACCACATTAGCCAAATGGCGCCTTCTGGCCCTGTGACCCTATTCAGACATCCGTTTGTGAGGAGAAAGCTGTCTTTGATTTTTCAGAGCCTTAAAGGCAGAGGTGGTTGGCTGTCCATGAGTGACGGATGGGGAGGCCTTGAGGGATGAGCAGCCAGAGGGAGACAGGATGTAATGGTACAGCCGTCAAACAGGAACCAAGTCGGCCCTTCGTGGGTCAGCTGAGGTCCCCCCTTATTCCTGCCCCGGGTCGTCTCTGTCTGTCAGGGCCCTTGACTATAGCTCCAGTTTGGGCACCTGAGAACTGGCAGAGAAAGATGCACCAGACTCAGCAAAGTAAATGCACTGAGGGAGGCTGTGGGAGCAGGAGTGGGTGGGGAGGGGCACAGGACTGGACTTTGTTAAGTTGCATGAGGGGAAGAGCAAGACTTTGACCACAGAGGGATAGTAATAGCAAGAATTATCACTGTCATCATCTGCTGGTTAAAGACGAGGGTCCTGGGTCTACACCAGGGGAGACTTTGCTCCCCAGAGGACATTTGGCAATGTCTGGAGATATATTTGGTCGTCCCCACTGAGGGGATGGTGCTGTTGGCATCTAGTGCGTAGAGGTGAGGGATGCTGTTAAACATCCTACAATGCCCAGACAGCCCCCACCACAAAGAATTATCTGACCCAGAATGGCAGTAGGGCTCAGGTTCAGAAACCCTGATCTAGGCTAATTTCCACTATGATAGCAGTTGATATCGCTCCTTTGCTACAGTGCTGAGGTGGCTGTGGAGAGAATACACCAGAAAACAGGGAGAGATGTGATTCCAAGTTTGCCTTTGCTTTTTGTTCCATTGCCTTTTTTTTTTTTAAGATTGGCAGCTGAGCTAACATCTGTTGCCAGTCTTCATTTTTTTCTTCTTCTTCTTCTCCTCCCTAAAGCCCCCCAGTACATAGTTGTAGGTGCTTCTGGTTCTGCTGTGTGGGACATCGCCTCAGCATGGCTTGATGAGTGGTGCCATGTCCACACCCAGGATCCGAACCGGCCAAAACCCCAGGCTGCCAAAGTGGAGGGTGCGAACTTAACCACTCAGCCACAGGGCCGGCCCCTGTTTCATTGCCTTTTAATTAAGCCCTGAGTAGCATCCAGCAAGGATATGTCTGGTATACTAAGTCCTAGGATTCTCTCAGTGTGAGCGGAGGTGATTGGAGCTTGGTGCCCCTGCCCAGGGCTTGCCTCCAAGCTGGCCCCCGTAGTTGCAATTGGCCCCTTCAACTCTGTGTCGGATATTCTAGCACTTTCCACAAGGTGGGCTCTGGGTAGATGTGGACTTGCTTGGGGAGATGGTGAAGCTTGTTTTCTTCCTGTCCTTTCTTTCTACCAGCTGGAGGCCGAAGCCACTCACCGTGTGATCACCATTGCAAACAGAGTAAGTAGACCCTGGCTCACCCGAAGCCCATTCTCAGCTCTGGATCAGAAACCAGGCTGTGCAGTGGAGTCCCATTCTGCTCTTGGTGCTGGCGGCACGCCTGGCTCACAGGACCCCAAAACTGTGTGCTGAATGAACGTTGTTATTCCCACAGACCTGGCAGGAGTCCTCCTTGCCCTCAGCTCTCCATTCCCCCGCTGAGCTTGCTGAGCCTGCCTTCACTGCTCCAGTGGAAATGGCTCCCAAGGGAGGCAGGACAGGATGGGGGACCGCAGAGCCTCACTGCCCTGGAATCTGTTTCTTGTGGAGGAACAGGCAGACAGTTTACTTGGAGAACCATGATTTAAACCTCTCTTCTGAGCCCTTCATAATTTTTTGTTGGTGTGGTTCAGCGTGAAGCCCTCTCAGGGTAAGGGGGCATTGGTGGGAACAAGCAAGAGATGTGGGGCCTTCAACAATTACAAGCTTTCAAGCATATGCAAGTCACTCACCCACTCTGAGATATAAGATAATCACTCTCAGGGCGCTTGTGAAGATCAGAGTAGTCATGGGAGGAAAAGCGCTTTATAAACAGGACAGCCCTGTGCCGAGGTGACTTCTCCTTCTAAAGCGGCATTGAAGGGTTCCATTTGCTCAGATAGTCTGAGCTACCTCCTCCAGGACACTGGTCTTCAAAGTGTGGTCCCTGGACCAGCAGCATCAGCATTGCTTGTTACAAATAGGAACTTTACATGCAAATTCTCGGGCCCCTGCAGACCCACTGAATGAGAAACTGGGGGGTGACGCCCAGCAATCTGTGTTTTAACAAGCCCATCAGTGATTCTAACAGGCACTGACTTGAGGACCTCTCCTCTCGAAAGAGCGGGGCTGCCCCGGAGGATGTCAGGCTGAGGGTGTGGTGTTGGGAAAATAGAGAGGTTGAAGGGCCTGCTTGTCTCAGAATTAGTGAACTTGTGCCAGGCGTGTCAAACGTCTGGCCAACTCCTAAACTCTCTGTCCTCTTAATTTGATAATCAAAGAAGGCATCAGAGGGACATTTGGGAAAACACATTCCCAATTAGCAGTTTATAAGTCTGCAGGCTTGACAAGGACATTGTTTTACTGTCGTAACAATTGTAGTTTTATCACTTACTTCCTGATGGAAACTTCACCCAGAATAAGGAAAGATGGGAAAAACAAATGGGCAGCTCCTCGTTTTTAGCTCCAACACTTGCTCAGGGAAGTTAAGCCGTGGACTATGGCCACGTGGCTCGGTAGAGGAGAAGCTAATCACTGTTACAATCCAGGTGTCCATTTGCAAGACCGGTCCTGTCCTTCAGAGTCCGGCCTGGACGCTGACGCCTGAACCCCTTGTATTCTGTTTTCTCCAGGGTACATTCTGTCCACTGGTAAAGCAGCCCCCAGATGACAGGCATCATAATTTTAGATATGAAATATGATATATGACTATCTCTAAGTCATCACATTCATGAACAGGAAATTAAAATAGTCCCTTGTTTTAAGTTATAAATAGTCTAGCGTCAGCTGGTAGACAATGTGAGGTTCGGCACTCAGCATCCTGGCTTGATGTTCCCACGTTGGGCTCAGGTGCTGGGCACTGCTGGCTTCGTGTGGTTCCCCAGCCTGCAGCTTGTGCTCCTGCAGCCAGCCCCGCGTTCCCAGCAGAAGATCACTGTCCCCCTGGGGGCGGGGCTGAGCACTGCAGGGGGAGGTGCTGGGGCCAGGACTGATCTGGCCGGGTTATCTTGCTGCTTGTTAGGTTTATGGCGTTGATGCGCTCTCCTTTCCACTGTTTCAATGTTTAGACTCACTGTCCGATCTACCTAGTCAATGTGTCCAGCATCTCGGCTGGTGATGTCATCGCAACCGCTAAGATGCAAGGTGAGTCCTTGGGCTGGGATGGACGGTGCACAGATGTGGTAGAATTGCAGCCTGCTGGGGCCCACCAGCTCCATGCACTCCCTGCCCCCGCTCCCCCACCGCGAGGCCAGGCCCTGAGCCTGCCCTTCCCTTTGCTCTCCTGCTGTCTTCCTCAGAATCACCCTGCACTAACCTGGATTCAGTCCATTAAAAGCAGAGTGTTTTCCTCTGCACATTTGTATGCCTAACAGCTTTACAGAAGTGTCTGTCACCTCTCCTGGGTGTGGTAAAATTTTCCAAGTTTTAAATCGACTCATTAATTGATATCTTTTTGGCCTCTTGGGTTTTTCTAGTGGTTGCCTTGGTAACCAGCATGAAATCCTGGACCAGTTCCAATGGCCATTTGAGGGGATGCCTGGGAAGTCCCTGGAGAAATTATAGTATCTGGGTCCAACTTCCTTACAGCCGCCTGGAACCCCGTGTACAAGCCCGAGGGCAGCTGTGTGTCTCCTGTTGCTGAGCACCTGGCAGCACCTGGAGGCTTTCTGCTTGCTTATAGTCCCAGCTCAGGGTGCTGGTGAGCTCCTGGTAACAGGAGAAACAAAGTCATTGTCACCAACCTGGGGATATAAATCAGGAGCAAGGGCTTCCTGGCTTCCAGATCCTGCCTCCTGCCCCTCCCGTGGTGGAAGCCCATCAGGTGTGTCACCTGCACTGTTGTCTCCCAAATGGATCCATCTCCATCTCCTGGCCCACCAGCCCCTGCTACAGAGCCCACCCCCAGTGATTCTTGTGAAGGTGCTCACAGCGCCCACCTGCTCCAAAAACTGTGCAGACTGCCCCCCGTGTGGCGCTCGCAGCCCTCCGTGCTCCCGTCAGCACCCTCAGCACCCATGCTCCAGCCAGCCTGCGCTCCTCTAAGCGCCATCAGTGCTGCCCCACCTCGGCACCCCTGCCCTTCTGTTCTCCCTGCCTGGGATCAGCATGGGGATCGGGTGCACTCGGCCTTGAACCCAGCCGTGCTCCTGAACGCCCGAGTGAGCCTGGGCAGGTGCCTTCCTCTCTCTGCCTTCATGTCCTGCAGCTGTCAAACGAGAGGCTCAGAACAATGATCTCTCAGGTTCACTGGCTTCCTAGTTATGCTTTGACCTTTCTTCTTCCAGGGAAGGTCGTGCTGGCCGAGACCACGACTGCGCATGCCACACTGACAGGCTTGCACTACTACCACCAGGACTGGTCCCATGCAGCCGCCTACGTCACAGTGCCGCCCCTGAGACTGGACACCAACACCTCAACCTACCTCATGAGCCTGCTGGCCAAGTAAGGCATTTCAGCGGGACCGCAGTGGCCCCATAGCACGTCGTTAACTCATGATGCGTGCCGTTCCAGGGATTTGTAGATCTTTAAGGTGATGTTGTAGGGGCCCCATATCTGACCTAGGTTTGATTTCATTGTGCCCTTAGGATGATTTTGCTTTTGTTACCTTCTCCAGAGCCCATCAGATAATTGCTATCCCATGGAGTTCCTATGACCGCTGGATTTGCTTCCGAGGTATAAGAGTAAAGAGCGTGTATAAAACTGTGAACAGTGGTTATTCAGAATTTTAAGACATTGGTATCTTATACTAATGCCCACTGGGGAGCTGTAGGATGTGGCCTCTGACTTATCTGACAATATTTGCGGGCCTTTCTCTTTTTTTCTTTTCCTCTCCCTCTTCTCATTGTTTCACATGTGGTTTTCTCTCCTTATTTGTACCTCTCTCCTTCTGTGTGTTTTTTCTTTCTTTCTTTCCCCTTCTCCTGTTTTCTTCTTCACTTTCTCCCTCTTTCCCTCCATCCTGTCCGTCCAGATGTCCTTTTTCCCACTCCTTTTTCTAACACTGCTTTTTCCCATTCAATCCAAATCTAAATAAAATGGTGTAATGAACAGTGTGAATTTGGTGGCTCACAAACATAAAAAGATTTTGTTTTGTCCCAATAACAGGTTGCAACTTTTTTTTTCCCTCTAGTGACATTTTGGGTAGAGGCCATTGCTTTTTCTTCCCTTTTGGTTGTTAAAGTCCAGTACAGTTTAAAGTCAGTCTCACCGCCCCTCCGCCCCCAATGCCCACCCCCAGCTTAGGGATGGGTGGCAGGGAGATTAGGATAAGGGGGTGGGGATTCTTCTCCATACCCCAGCACACATCTGTGCTCTGCTTTAGTTGTTGCCAAAAGTGACAGGCCTTTGGGGTCCTCCTTGTGCAGGGCATGTGCCCAGGGTGGGCTCTCTCGTGCCACCCCACACAATCCCCCAGTACAGGAGACAGATTCCAGCTTGACCTCTTCTACCCGCACCTCCCCACCTTCCCAAACTAGCAATGTCCCTGTGAACAAGGACCCTGGCAAGGCAGCTTAAGCCCGGCCACCTTCTGCAGTGTCTGGGGCTCAGAGGACGCTCACACAGCTTCGCTACTCCCTACTGGGGCTCAGAGGCAGCCTCACCGGTCTAGCGCCCAGGCAGGTACCCCCTGCTATCACCTCTGTTCTCCACGGGTGAACTTCTTGAAATGTCCCCTCCTTGACTGTGGGGTAGATGGGTCGGGGAGAGGGCCAGGAAGTACCACTCAACCCATGAAAAGAGGAAGGAGGGAGAGACTGCTGGGCTCTCCTTTCTGCCAACACCCCGGTCTCCCTCCCTGTCTTCTGCTTTGATAGACGAGGGCGTGGCAGGTGACATGCCTCTTCTAGGGTGACACCGGGCAGATTTGAGGGAAGTGACCAGCCCAATTGAAGGCGGCTGTCTAGATAATGGGGCACTTATTTTATCTATGTCCTTAGTTTTTGGTCCTGGTTGCCAGCAACTGGAAAATTCCACTCAACATGCTGCTGTGTTAACTACCTAAAGAGCAGCGTGCAGGGGGGAGCTTTCCAAATACTAGTGGCAGGTGTGCAGTCACGGGGCCCCGGGGTGAAGGTGGCCCCTGGGGGGGCAGTGTATGTCATGGCACAGTGACAGTAATTACAATCTGTCCCATAGCTTTGCTCTGATACTGACAGCAGCAGCTCTGACAGATTTAAAGAAATCAAGAGACTGAAAGAAGATGAGGGGAGAAATGCTAGCTCAGTCCCTACTTTTAAAAATGCTTTTTGTTGGGAAAAACTAGCCTCTTTCATCACTATCAACACAACAAAAACACACAAGTATCAAGAACCCACTATAATAATGCGGGTTCAGTTCCGGGGTCAAAGACTCTTTTGAAACACCTCTGCTTGCCACAAGCAAATGTACGGAAAGAACACAAAAGGAGTAAATGCCCCAATTCACCCAAATTACAGTGCCCAAACCCACACGAGTTCAAATAGGCAGGGGAGAAAAGTATTATTAATTGAATAATTTAAGTTTTTATATCTCGCCTATTTTGTCAAATTTATTAAAATCATTGAAATAAATTCTATTCATTGAAATAGAATTGTAATTCCTTGTGAACTGTTATGAGAATAGTTTGAATCCCTTTTTTAATTGGTGTGTATTGTAAATATGTACAGTTTTATAGGATTTTGAGCATAGTTTTAACATTTTAGTTATTTTTGTAGAAATTTATGATTACTATAATTTTGCTTTTTAGACAAATTTGTTAGTGATAATTGATGTTATGCAAAATACTTGCTAGAAAACCCAGACACCGATTATCATATTCCTATAAGAAAATATAAACTGCTTCATAGTGATCTACTTTAGGATATGATTTCTTAGGATTAGCAGGGTAAAAAGTACAATCTAGGGGCTGGCCCCGTGGCCGAGTGGTTAAGTTCACGCGCTCCGCTGCAGGCGGCCCAGTGTTTCGTTAGTTCGAATCCTGGGCGCGGACATGGCACTGCTCATCAGACCACGCTGAGGCAGCGTCCCACATGCCACAACTAGAAGAACCCACAACGAAGAATACACAACTATGTACCGGGGGGCTTTGGGGAGAAAAAGGAAAAAATAAAAATCTTTAAAAAAAAAAAAAAAGTACAATCTATAGATGTAAGGATTTGTCCTTTATTTAAAATCTGATTTCTTAAAGGGACCAGAATTTTTTTCATTTAAACATGTAAGATTTTAAAGTACTTAACAAAGCCAGTCATGTTTTAAACTTTAAAGAGTGTGAGTGGCTGTTTCCTGTCTCCTGGATCCAGGACAGCATTTGGAGACCCCAAAAGCCCTTCTGGCATGTAACCACAGTCATTCACACCTGCCCAGGGGCACCTGTTTGTGTAGGAGCCTCTTTAGAAAGTTGAGTGTCCAATAGGACTTGTTGGTTAAAGAACGGGAGTTGAGCCAGTTCTTCTGGGGTCCCTGAACCGCAGACCATGACTGATGGCCCCTCTTCTGATCTGGGCCTGCCAGGTGTCTGGAGAACCCCCGAGGAGAAAGTGAAACCCTAAAGATTCTGTTAATCTCTGGTGGGTTCTGCAGGCCCGGGGAGTGTGAGGCACCCTTGGGGAGCCTGGAACGAACCCTCTGCTCTGTGGAGGCGTCACCCTTGCAGTCCCTGAGAGGGCCCAGAGCAGCGTCTTTGGCCCAGGGAGATACCAGCCCATGCCACAGGAAGAGCTAAGTCATCTCGCTGTAGATTTGGTCAAGGATATCATACATTTGGCCAGAGCTGTGGCTAGTGAGCCCTGCCAGGCCCCCAGTGAAACAGCCCTATGTGCAGCCTGACCCGGAATCATCTGAGAGCCTTAAGAGTGTGCATCCTCACCAAGCCCAATAATGCCTTCTGCTCCCAGATTCCCCTTCTAACGTGAGCATCTTAGATGGCCATGTGCACTTGTGTTGCGTTGCTGCCTCGTACAAATAAAATTAAACTCTCAGGGCGCCCACTGTGTGGTCCCAGCTGTTGTCCCCCTCTGCCACCTGACCCTATGCTCCAGCCAGGCCCCTCCCTGCCCTCCAGGGGTATTCCCCACCGAGGCCTGAGCAACATGGGCATTCTCTCCCCTCTGCCTCTCACCCCCTCTGAGCCCTCAGCCTACAGACATCTCTGAATATGGGCCAGCTGTCTGCCTCCTTCATTAGGCAGAGAGTCTGCCACCATGTGCATTCTGTCACCATCAGAAGCGTCTGCCCTTGGGGAGCCAGCTCTGATGGCCTAGTGGTTAAAGTTCAGCACGCTCCACTCCTGTGGCCCCGGTTTGGTTCCCAGGCACCAAACCACACCACTCGTCTGTCAGTAGCCATGCTGTGGTGGCAGCTCGCATAGAAGAACTAGAAGGACTTACAACTAGAATATGCAACTATGTATTGGGGCTTTGGGGAGGAAAAAAAAGAAGTGTCTGTCCTGAGTTCTTAGCCAGCCCGGGAACCCTGAAAAGCCCTGCCGTGGCTTAGCCACTCGCACCCTTGCATGGAGGCTGGTGCCAACAACCGTCAGAGAATGATGGTCATGGACGGGAGTGGTGATGAACCAGGTGACTTGCATACCATTGCTGGTTTATTAAGGCGGACTTCTCTTCTGTCCTGTCTCTCCTTTCCCCTTCTGGGCCCTTAGAGCCCCCACATCCAAGGAAGGCAATGGCTTCAAGTTATTTAGCAAAGCTTAACATCAAGCTTGTGAGTGTTTTACCAAGCACGTGCTTGTTGCCAGCAAGGCCTGGGGGCGCTGAGGCAAGAGAAGCAGTTTGCATATAGTTCCTCGGTAGTAGAACCACTGCCACCCTCTCACTTTAGCTAAACTCTTAAGTTTAATTTTTCTTCTCCCACTATCTTAACTCTTAAAAGTTGACATCCCAGACTCCTGTGACACCGGCAGTCTGTACCACGCTCGCTCATATTCCCATTCTGCAGATGAGTAAACTGAGGTTTGCACAGATTGAGTGAATTGTTAGAGGTCATACAGCTACTGTGTGGCAGAGCTGAGATTGGAATCAGCTTTACCAGTTCCCCAGCAAAGGCTTTTTCCCTATACCTGTCCCCAGCCTCTGGGACCCTGTTCCTCCCCTTACTGGTCACGTCCTTCCCTCTACACAGTGATACGCTGAATATTGTGGCATCAGATCACCGGCCTTTCACCACGAAGCAGAAAGCTATGGGCAAGGAGGACTTCACCAAGATCCCGCACGGAGTGAGCGGCGTGCAGGACCGCATGAGCGTCATCTGGGAGAGAGGAGTGGTATGTTCTCAGGAGCCCCTGCCCGCTCTCGTCCTAGCAAGAGTTGTCACCCTTAGGAGGGCCGCATCAACCGCAGCTCCTTGTTTCACTCAAAAACGAAACCACAAAAAGGTCTTCATTTTTTTTCCTGATCAGAAAGGTAATAAGGCCTAGTATAGAAATTTGGAAAATACAGAAAAGTATTAGAAAAAAAAATCCTGGTAATTCCATACCGAGAAATCAAACTATTAATATTTTGATATATTTCTTTCTAGTTCTATGCATGTACTATACATTATTTTAATAACAAGGTTGATGCTATTTTTTCATATAACAGTATATCTTGAGTGTCATACCTATATCAGTAAAAATTCTTTAAAAACATCTTTGTTAAGGGCTAAATAACATTTCCTCCAATGGAGGTACCCAACTTCAGTTAATCCTTCCCTGATGTTTGGACGTTTCAGCTGTTTCAAATTTCTGCACTAGATATAACGCTGCAGAGGGCCTCTTTACCCATGAGTATGTCAGCATTTTTGATTATTTCCTGAGGACGGATTCCTAGAAGGGGATTTCTGGGCCAAGTGATATGAACATTTTTAAGGCTCTTGATATAGTTTGTCCAACTGCTTTTCAATAAGATAGAGCTGGGACTTCATTTGAATAGCACCTGTTCTGCCCATGAGGAATAGGGTTTTTCGGTCTTGACCTATCATGGATTAGATGCAGCATAGAGTATGGGCCCGAGGAGATCTGACATTCTCAAGACTCAGCCACCAGAGCAGGGAAGGCCAAAGAGGTGGCTCAGGAGTCTCCTTTGAAGAGAGTCCACAGTGCTCTCATGAGTGGGTGGGTGGGTAGGGCAAAAGATATTTTCCAGAGCACAGAATTTATGTCCCTTTGTGGATGAAGGGAAGCTCCTGACTCAGCCACAGTGGCACATGGGTCGAGCTGGTTTTACAAACAGGAGATAGATTTGCACCAAGTAAGCAGACTTTTGGAACAAGGGCCCACCCACCATTGCTGCTGGATGAAGGAGAAAGGAGCAAGTGAGTGCAGGAAACCAAGCCAAGGAGGTCGGCTCATCTGATCTGGTGCCCAAGACACTGTCCTCAGCACCATTGTTCTGACCAATTGAAATGCCACAGGCCAGGGTCAAGGGTGACTGGGAGTTTGAGTCACACGCTGGGCCTGGTTGACTTGATACTTGTGCCATGTTTCAGGTCGGAGGAAAGATGGATGAGAACCGTTTTGTGGCCGTTACCAGTTCCAACGCAGCGAAGATTCTCAACCTGTATCCCCGCAAGGGCCGCATCATCCCCGGAGCTGATGCTGACGTGGTGGTGTGGGACCCAGAAGCCACCAAGTAAGGCCCCTCCTGGTGCATGGGGCTAAAGGGACTTGGGATTTAAGGAACTTGTATTACAGAGCTCCAAACGCATATCATCTTTGCACCACTTCCAGCTTAGAGAACCCGGAGGTGTGTTCAATTCAACCAATATTTGAGGGCCAGCCATTGTCCAAGAGCTAGAAACGTACCAGCGAACAAAACAGTCTTGAGAACTGCTGCAGTGCAGCTCCATCTGCACAGCACTTTACAGTGTTTCAAAGCCACTTCACGTCAATTATCACATTCGATTTTCACACAGCCCCAAGAAGCACTCAAGCCTGGAGTTCTTATTGCCATTTTACTATGGAAGAAACCAAGACAAGAGAGTAGAGGGTCTCCCCACGTCACATGGCTAATTAAGTGGCTGAACCAGACAGATATCCCGACCCTCACTTCTGGGCTCTTCCACCAACCCTCTGCTTCTCTCATTGCGGGCGAGTACACGGCGCTCGACACCCACAGCATTAGTGAGCACAAGCTGAGTGAATAAATGAGGTGTGTCAGGAGTTATCACGCCACAGGATGCAGAGCACCGTTTTTACTCAGAGATTTGGGCAGGGGAAATGGGAATCGTTTTTTAACATTAAATTTCATTCAATCACTTAACAAATATTTGTTAAGTGCTACCATTTGCCAGGCACTTTTCTAGGTGCACAAGCTAGCAGTAAGCAAGATAGACAAAAATGTGCTGGAATTTTGAAGATGAATAGTTGAAAGGCAAAGAAGTTCAGGTGTGCTCACCACCCACCCCCATGCCGGGATACCCACACTGTCTTCTCCATTAGTGCCTTGAGAAGCGACGTTCGGCATCCTGATGCCTGGGGCTGGTCCCTATTGCTGTAGCAGTGTGGCTGTTACTGATTGCTCTTGGTAGAGAGGCCCCTAGAGTTTAGCCCAATGCATTAGTCCGTTAGGGCCTCCATAACAAAATGCCACAGACTGGGGGGCTTAGACAGAAATTTACCTTCTCATGGTTCTGGAGGCTAGAAGTCAAAGACCAAGGTGTCAGCATGTCAGCAGAGTTGATTTCACTCTGACGCCTCTCTCCTTGGCTTACGGATGGCCATCTTCTCCCTCTGTCTTCACGTGGTTTTCCTGTGTGTGTACGTGTCTGGAGTCTCAATTTCTTCTTCCTATAAGGACACGGGTCAGATTGGATTAGCGCCCACCCATGCGACCTCATTTTCCTTTCATTACCTCTGTAAAGGCCCTATCTCCAACTAAAGTCACATTCTGAGATATTAGGGGTTGGGACTTCAACATATAAATCGGGGAGGGCACACAATTCAGCCCACAACAACCAGCCTTTGGGGATCATTTCTTCCCATTGAGTGTCATCCGTTCCCACTGAGCATCTTCCCTCCCCATTGAGCTGTGACATCTTCAGCTCTTCTCAGAGCTTTCTCTCCTGCCGCTGCCTCCCCACCAGGACCATCTCAGCCAGCACCCAGGTTCAGGGAGGAGACTTCAACCTGTATGAGAACATGCGCTGCCATGGCGTGCCGCTGGTCACCATCAGCCGGGGGCGAGTCGTGTACGAGAATGGTGTCTTCATGTGTGCAGAGGGCACCGGCAAGTTCTGTCCCCTGAGGTCCTTCCCAGACACCGTCTACAAGAAGCTGGTTCAGAGAGAAAAGGTAAGGTGAGGGCAGGGAAGAAGATGTGTGGGAGGAGGTTGAACCCCCCTATTGGAGACATCTGCTATGACTTTTACTTCTCAAAGATGTTCTCGCTCTATTTTCTCACTAAATCCTATTGCCTGGAATGGTCACTTTGGGAATAATCCAAATGGTAGGAAAGAAGCACCGATAACAAGGTAAAATTTATTGAGAAGCATCCCCAGTTCCCCTGGAGCTGGGATAATACTATGAGATGCTCACAGCTGTCCCGACATCTGGTCTCTAGGAGGCTTCCTGCCGAACCTCAGGGCAGGGGTCCCTGCCTCGGCCTGGGTTACCATACCCGCCCTGGAGTTGCTCTTTCCCTGAACACCACCCCCCGCCATGACTCTAATAGGCTGGGTGGGCTTTGCTGAGTGTGGGCCCCCCAACACTGAAGTGGTCAGGCCAGATCAGATCTCAAGGGCCCCACCCAGTCCTCAGATCTCGGATCCCAAAAGCACCCTGGGTGTTTGGTCACTAAAGCTTCTGGCTCCACCTCCTCCCCAGGGGCTCCCGTCCTCTGGGTAGACACATTCACCCAAAAGAAGGCTGGCTATTTCCTCCTCACTTGGGGACTGATTGTCCAGCCTTATCTTTGAGAGTTGCCTTGGAGAATCTGGCCTGAATCCTCACTGACAACCCAGGTGTTGGCAACTGTGGCCCTGGGCTCTGAGTGGAGGTCCCAAATCATGAGAAAAGAGCAAAAGTGACAACCGAGCCTCATGCTGTTTCCCCGCCCCTTCCTCTGGTGTAAAACAATACTGTGGCTTTAAAATGCTCCTGCCTGGCTGTTTCTAGATGCTGTCTAAAAAGGATGGGTGTTCTTAGATACGTCATGGCCCAGGGCCTGGGAGTCCTGGCCTTGCTGGGCCTAACAGCTCTCTCCTGCCCAGGCTCTGGGAGGCCACTGCTGTAATCATGGTACACACAACACACGTTGATCTTTTTTTTTTTTTTCCAATTTCCTCCCCCAGCTTCACATGTGTCCTGTTCTTTTGCTCCTTTGCCCAATACATCCCACTCCTCTGTACACAGCAGGTGCTTAATCTGTGTTCTAGAGGTAGTAACAGTGAAGGTTTCTGGGTGAGTCGGGAAAACTGCCCAGTCTAGCCCTGTCAGTCAGCTGCTTCTCTGTTCCAGTGGGGAGACCCAGCAAAATGGCCTGTGTGTTTTAGGTGAGGTCCTAAGTGCCAGCGGGGGGTGGGCGGAGGGGGAGCCCCTTTATGGGCCCTTTCCAGGGGACCTCTCCACCCCCACCCCACCCTGTATTGTGATCGCTGTCCCAGATCAACATCAGCTTCCCATTTCCAGGTCCCATTCTCTCCAGTCATGATTGGCTCCGGCTTCCAGCAGGAGACTGGAGATTTAAAGGACCTTGACTGAAAATGGACTCAGCTGCCACATTACAGAGCTCTAGAAATCTGCTTCAGAATATCTCAGGAGTAGGTCTTTTAAGAACTGTCTCTGGCTTGGCACACTTGCCATCAAATGGTCATACGACCTCTCCCCTTCAGCCAAACTTCCTTATTATCTTAGATCTCTAATCCTTTATGCAAAAATCAAGCTTCTTTACTCAGTTCCTTGGGCCTCCCTCCTTGAACCACCTAAAGGCTTTCAGAAGTAGCTGCTTCAGCCTTCACCCTCCCTGCTGTTCTCTGAACACCCTGCACTCTTGCTGGCCTGTGAGGCTCCAGTCCTGGGATGACCCAAGGACCAGAAGGAAGGAGGGATCCATCAGCTGGGGCAGTGGGCAGGCCCCTGAGTCTGGTCCTCAGTGGAGCCCCTCGATCATAAGTTCATTCACAAAAACCACACCTTTCTTTCTCAAACTGTGGCCCAGCTCTGCTGTGCTGAGAGGGGAGTATGTGATGGGACAAGGAATGCCAGAGTTGGAAAAGTCTGGTTTCCACTCCTTTGATGACCAGATAGAATTTTAAGTGATCAGGCAAACGGGGAGTCCTGAGTCCCCTAAGGCACAAGGAGGAAACGTGAGTGTGTCTGTGACTGAGTTTCTCTTGATTCCAGGCTCGGGGCCCTTGAGCTACTGCCATTGCTTGGTTCCTCCCCCTCTTGAAGATGTGAGGGCTAGTAAAACTATTTGAGAAGCCATCCTCTAAAGCCTAGGAGTCCACGGGACATATTAGCACCAGAAGATCAACTCTGTGGGCAAGCTCTCCGAATAACTAAAGACCCTTCTCTCCCAGAGGCCAACGAACAAAAAAAACCCAAAACCAGGTCTGCTGTGGGGGAGCAGACTTGGATTCCCTGAAGAAAACATGACTTTAGTTATCACAGTGTTCAATCCAAAAGCAAACCCAGGGCCTCTCAAGTAGGCAAGTGGTCCTGTCTCCAATATACTTCCCAGATGTAGATAGTGGCAGGATGCCTCAGCCCCATCTCTGGAGGATGTGCCAGGAAGAGCTGTAAGAGCAATGCACTCACACAAGAATATCTGAGAAAGGTTGGATCTAATTGAAAAAAAGAAAACAGAAAATAGCAAATGTTGGTGAAGATGTGGAGAAATTGGAACCTTCATTCATTGTTGTAAGGAATGTAAAACAGTGGAGCCACCTTGGAAAACAGTTGGGTGATTCATCAAAAAGTTAGATATGGAGTTAATAAATGACCTAGCAGTTCCACTCTTGGGTATTTACTCAAGAGAAATGAAAATAGATGTCTACACAAAAGCCGGTACAGTCAGGTGCTGCATAATGATGTTTTGGTCAATGACAGACTGTATATACCACAGTGGTCCCATGAGATTGGTACCGGATAGCCTAAGTGTGTAGTAGGCTATACCATCCAGGTGTGTAAGTGCACTCTATGACGTTCGCACGACAAATTTGCCTAACGACGCATTTCTCAGAACTTATCCCCATCGTTAAGCGATGCCTGACTGTGCATGAATCTCTGTAGCAGCATTGTTCATAAAGGCCAAAAAGTGGGATCAACCCAAATGTGCATCAACTGTTGAATGGATAAACACAATGTCATTTATCCATACAATGGAACATTATTCAGTCATAAGAGGGAATGGAGTACTGATATATGCTACATACAACATACGTGAACCTTAAAAACATTTAGTAAGTGAAAGAATCCAGTCACAAAAGACCACAGATTATATGATTCCATTTATATGAAATGTCCGGAGGAAGCAAATCCGAAGACAGAAAATAGTTTAAGGTTTCGGTGGGGAGGGGAGAGTGGAGTGACTGCTAATGGGTATGGGGTTTCTTTGTGGGGGTGATAAAAATGTTTTGGAATTAGATAGTGGCAATGGTGGGACAACATTGTGAATATACTGAACACCACTGAGTTGTATGTTTTAAAATGCTGAATTTTATGGTATGTGAATTATATCTCAATTTGAAAAAAAAGAATATCTGACAACAGTTCTGTGGTCTTCCCAAAAAAAGATATTTTAGTCAAGAAATAAGGTCAAAAGAGGGCAGAGAAAGTGTTTTAAGCCCTTTTGAAAGCCATATTCACAAAAACATAAGATAAATACCAATTCATGGCCGACTGCTCCTTGGGCGAGCCACCGTACGGGAGCACCAGCCTCCGGGATCGATAGAAACTCAACCCAGAGCCGCCGTATCGAAAGCACTTATCACAATGACAGTCTAAGTTCCTCAAGAAAAAGGAACTTGTTCTGCTATAGCCCTTCTGTAACAGAATGCAGGAATGTGGAAGAAACTGTCAGAAAACCTCATTTTCTGAAAATTATAAATGAGCAGTTCCTAAAGAGCACAGGCCCTGGCAAGAGGGCAGCTCTGACCTAAGGTGCTGTGTGTAAAGCCAGGACTCCCCCGGGGTCTGCTCCTGCCCTTCACCGCCGGGACCCCGGCCTCCGAAGCCAGACGCCAAAGTGTAGCCTGGGAAAAGCCAAAACAGTGCAGTCCAGGTCTGACATCCTGAGGGCCGAGCTAAACTACAGATCTGTTGTCGGGGAATACAGAGGAGTATATAGACTGAAGAGCCTTCAAGAAATCACCTCTATCTGTTGTTTCTCTCAACAAGATTTTCAACAAGCATCAAGCAGCAAGGAGATTGAGGTTTTGTCCCTGCCTGGGGTGTAGATCACCTACGCTGCTCCTCCGGACCTTATGCACACACTCCAGCACGCTTCTTCCTCCTTGCAATAGCACTTCCTAATATGATTAAGCACCCGTAAATGACCCCTGCACTAATACTTATATGTTCTTGCCATGTGCCAGAGCAGTTCTAAGAGCTTTATGTATATTATTTCATTTGATCTCATAACAGTTCTATATATAGTACTAATAGGTACCTTTATTATCCTAATTTTATGAATAAGGAAACAGGCACAGAGAGGTTAGATAACTTGCACAAGGTCACACAGCTTATAAGTAACAGAGCTGGGATTGGAATCTAGGCAGTGTGGTTGCAGAATATAGGCTCTTGACTCTCCTTCTTTTCTGAGTACAAGGTTAACTGGGGGACTCTCATGTCTAAATCGGCCTGTTAAGCCTCTATCCCCACAAAGTTGTCAGATCACAGTAACAGGCATGGCCTCTTGGGAGCCTGGCGAGTGAGGGGGTGACATTGCTCTAAGTGAGGGGTGCTCGCTAAGGCTGAATACCTCAGAAGTCTACCTGCTACCTCGGAAAGGATTCCACCGATGTTGGGAGAGAGCCAGTGGGTATCTCCTCTACACACACACACATGCATGCACACACACGTACACATGCACGCACACACACATGCACTATTTAAGAGGTGTAAGAAAAGAATTCTTCCCCTCCTGGGCTCAAGTGTAGGAAGGCTTTGTCACGTGCACTAATTTGGGGCCCAAGCAGAGTGGCAGCAGCTGCAGTCCTCTCAGCCAGCAAGGAGGCTCTGGTGGTGCCGGTGTCTGGGCTCTGGTGGTGCCGGTGTCTGGGCTCTGGTGGTGCCGGTGTCTGGGCTCTGGTGGTGCTGGTGTCTGGGCTCTGATGGTGTTGTCTTCTCCCTTTTTCTCCTTCTCCATCCTTCACTAGATCTTAAAGGTGAGGGGAGTGGACCGTACTCCCTACCTGGGGGACGTAGCTGTCGTTGTGCATCCTGGGAAAAAAGAGATGGGAACGCCACTGGCAGACACTCCTACCCGGCCCGTTACCCGACACGGGGGCATGAGGGACCTTCATGAATCCAGCTTCAGCCTCTCTGGTACGAGCAAGGGCCACTTGGACTGGACGCTGGTCTCCACCACAGTGGGGTGGCGGGAGGAGGGCCGAGGCGCCAGGAGGCCCCCTCAGGCAGTGGACCTTATGCTGCTTTTCCTCTCCATCTTCTCCCTCCTTGCCCATCCCATGTCCAGTGCTGATTGCTGGGTCCAGTATTAGAGACACACAAATATTGGGGGGGGGGGTCTCTTGGTCCCTGGGCACCAGCCGCGCTAACAGGCCATGGCCCTCCAGGGGCTCTCCTCATGGTTTCTAAGTTCAGATATTTTCATCCCTTGAAACATCCTGAGGGCCCTGCACATAGGGCGTGTCCCAGAGATGATCTAAACTGGGAAGGGTTAATCCTTTCTGAGCTTATCCTTTCTGAGCTGCGTGGCACTGCACCCCCATTACCCTCCCCCCCGGCCATCCCGGTTCCTCAGGAGCCTCTCTGAAAGACCTGCTATTTCCCTGTTCTCTTCCCTCCCTCACCTTGTCCCCACGTTTGCCCTTCTGTCACCTTCTTGTTGCCGGGAATTGTATTATACATAATTCACATAGACACACAATATGGGGTGTGTCTGTGCTCAGGACTTTATTGTCAACAACGTGTTTCCCAGGATGCAGTAGTTAACAGTGGGGGGTCATTGACGCATAAACAACCGCCCTCAGTGAACAAGCAGAGGCTGTAAGATGCCCTGGTCCTGCAGGCAGCTTTGATGGAAACTATGACAGCCACTTGAAAGGGGCAGGGAGCCTTTTGGACTAGCCCAGGTGCAGACCTAGCATCCGCCCTTCAAGGGCTGTGCTGGGGCCGGAACAGCAGAGGAGCAAGATCCAGATCCTTCTGCACAGAGCGTGGTGTTTACCCATACAGTAAACCATCCCTGTTTACCGGAGATGAGGCCCATACACAAGCTGTCCTAATATAAGAGGCAGAGGGCTAAACCAGCAAGATGCCAAGGGAGTGGGGCTGCCTGCCCAGCTTCCTCTGTGCCCAACTGCACGCTGGGAGCAGCTCTGGGTAGAAGACATGCTTCCTAATGAGGAGCTGATAGCCTGTGGGGAGGGGTCCTCTCCACCACTCTCCTCATTCAAAGCCTATCTCGTTACTGAGAAACTGCTCCGCCACCCTGACGGCCACCACCACTCACACCAGTGACAGGACATGAGTTCAGGGAGTCAGAAAGGGTTCCATGGTGTGGAGGGGCCATGGGCACTCCGGCCTTGCCAGTCCAGGAGGTGTGGATTCCCACGGCTGCTGGGCATGGCCCTTCCTGCAGCCGTCAACCCCACAGGAAGCAGTAAAGCCCCTAGGGCCGTGGGCCCCCACTGACCAGTGGCTTCTGCTCCCACTCAGGTCGCCAGGCAAAGCCAAGACTGGGCAGAAGTCCTCAGATTTAGCAAACATCGGGCATCCTCTCACCTTCGCTCTGCCCCAGACTTTGTCTGTTCTAAATGGGACAGGCTGAAGAATGTCGCCCTACACTCCCTGGGGCACCAGGCCTCCTTTTCTGAGTCTCGAGATTTCAAGATGTGGGAGTCTTTGGGGTGTGGTTCTTTGATTTTCCAAAACAAGGGAGCACCCCCCCTTCTCCCTCTGTTCCTCACTGAAGCAGATACACAGGGGCCCACTTGCTAACAGGCTGATCCATGGTCTGTGGCATGACGAGAGAGCTCCCAGTCTTGGGAGCAGGGAAGGTGGCCAGTAGGGCAGCTAATCTTGGAGGCTCTGAATCAGGAAGACCTGGGTTCAAATCCAGGCTCTACCCATTATACACCGTGTAACAGTGGGCAAGTTATTAACTTCCCTGAGCCTCAGTTTCCTCATCTGTAAAACAAGATGGAGTTGTTGTGAGGAGCAAATTAGATAACACGTGTGGAGGGCCTAACAGCCTCCACCGGTAGATGGTGGCCGTGGTCTCATCAGCCAGGCAAGAGCAGCTGAGCTCACCCTCTGCTTCCTTCCCCGCAGGTTCTCAGATCGATGACCACGTTCCAAAGCGAGCTTCGGCTCGGATCCTCGCTCCCCCCGGAGGCAGGTCAAGCGGCATTTGGTAAAGGCACTGACCAGCCCCCCCAAGTGAGGATGCACCACTGCCACCAGCCCGCACACCCTCCGGCCGCAGCTGCAGGGGCAGGAGAGGCTGGGCTGGGCAGCACACCACCTGAGGGGGCCAGGGGACCCGGGGAGCCCTCCCCATGTCTGACACGTGATTCACTGTGCTCCGAGCCAACCCTAACAGGCACTTTGAGATGTGTTCCTCCTGCTGCAGTCCTTTCCTGCCTTGGCCCCGGCAGGCTTTTCTGGGGCCCAGGAAGCCCACACTATGCACAGACCCCAATGCATAGAGCCCGGCCCAGCCCCTCCTCTCACACCTGCCTCCATGAGCTGGCTTGGGGAAAGCCCAGACTTTAGTGCCCTGCCCCTGGCTGACCCGCCAGTTGTCCAGAGCACTTTAGCAGATGTGTTTTAAAAGAAAAGGACTCCCTCCCCCATCCCCATAGGCCCCCGTGGTCACTTTTCCCAAGTCAGACAGGTGTTAGCTTCCCAGCCATGCTCAAGATGTCCCGTTTGTCCTGACTCGCCTCTGGCCCCTGTGTGGGTGTGGCTGGGACACCCTGGGTGTGGCTGTGGTTGGGACACTCCGTGCCCTTTGCCGGCTTCTTCCTTTCCCCATCCTGCCCTCTAGAGTCACGGGCCCAGAAGGGCGAGCCGGGCGGGCGTGAGGCTGGCACCAGGCGCGTGTACATGATTTCGTTTTGCACGTTTGGTTTGCGCAGTGGTTTGGTTTGACTTGTTTGTGCATCCTGTGAAAAATAACGGTGCTTCGTGTCACTAGCATAGCATAGAAACAGGAATAGATGTGGACCTTAGGAGATGCTGCACTTGACACCAACCAGACAGCCTAGGGCCCAGCAGGGGTGGGGGTGCTGGATTCACAGGCCCTTCTCCCCACCTGGAGTCTTCCAGGCTGCCAGAGGCCCTGTCTCAGGCCCTCTTCCCATTCCCTCCCCTCCTGGTCTAGTTTCCTACATTTGGAGAGGGTGCCTGGGATGCTGGCCCTAGAGACCATCTCTGGCCCTGGTTACTCCCAGCACTGACACCCCCTGCACCCAGCTTCCTGTAAATTCCCCCTGCTGGACCGAGGCCCAGCCGCTCCTCCTGTGTGATTGGCGAGAGACCTCATGCCTGCTGTGAGAGGGGGAGCATGCCTAGGGGGAGTGTGCTAGCAGATGCCAGGGAAGGAGGCCAGGCCAGCAGGACCCGGTTGTAGAACTGCATTGCTACAAAGGTGCCGTGGTCTTCTGGGGTCAGCACCTTGTCCTCACCTGCTTGTGGCCTCCACCTCCTCCCACATCCAGTTGGGCCATTCCAGCCTCTGAAGCTTCAAGAGGTTTCCATGGAAACACTAGAGGCTGGGTGATCTCCATGCACCCGGAGTGAGCTGGGAAGTGACCCAGCCCCTGCCCTTATTAAGCCTTGTCCTCCCTTGGGGAAGTGATTTCATGTTGCACGTTTGGTTTGAGCATCCCAGGCTTGCACGTGGCTCCTGGACTCTTGGGCTGGTGGTCATACCCTGCATATTTCTATAGTGCTTTTCATGTTTTCAAAGCACTTCCACATACAAGCTCTCAATTGCTCCTCACAACAACAGAGCAGGTATTATTCTCCTCGTTTCACAGATGAGGCCCAGAAAGATGAGGCCTCCTGACCCCAGAAGCGTCCATGGCTACCCTTGGAGCTTGGCTGTCTACCCAAACTGTGGAGGTGAGGAGTAGGGTGACGTCTCTTGTAGATCCCACCCAAGAGTTTAACCAGCCAGAACGCTCACTCCCCTGGTAGGCATTCTGCTTTGTTTTGCACAGGTAGATAGATTTTTTCTTGTAAACAAACTAATGCATAGTCACTGTTTGAGCCAGAACTAGTTAAATGTTGAGGGCTTGCCATGTGGTTTGAGCTGCCTCCCCATCCTCACTTCTTCTCTTCATGCTCATCTTCCTCACTTAGGGGCTGAGAGGACAGAGACGGTAACCCAGGGAGCAGAGGCAGCAAAGGCACTCATGGAAGGTGGCAGCCCTGGGGACAGTAGGTAGAGATCTGGGCCTGGGAAAGCATGACACTGACCCCTTGGTACAATGCACATCATCTTTATCCCTTTCAGCCCTTGCTGAGTCATGGGCCTTGGGCAGATGCCAAAGAGCCGAGTGGTGGTGGTGGCCAGCGGGCAGACTATCCCTGCTTGGGCTAGGAAAGCTTTACCTTCTCTGAGTGCCTCCGCCCGAGAGATGCATGGTCCGTGGCTGTGGGAGACCACATCCTGGAGTGGTCCACTGTACGCCTTCCACTTCATCCACCCCCGATCCTTACATAGACCCCACCCTTGCCCAGGAGCTTCTAGATGAAAATCAGGAGGTTCAAGGAACCAAATGAATGGCCAGCCCCCACTGCCTACTCCTTGCCCCTGTGCAGAACTCCAGCCAGCTCCATCACCAGCCCCACTGGCTCCTGGTTGGAATGAAAATGGTCTCTGGTTGCACTGAATGCAGCTCTCAAATTGGTCTTGTACTTGCTGAATAAATACTGTTGTTCTTGCCTTAGCTGCTCTCTAGGTTTGTGGGGTTAAGTTACCAGAAAATTGTGCTACTGTGTTTGCGTGTGTGTGTGCGTGTGTGTGTAGTGCTAGGAGTCCACAGTAGGTCTCTGTTGAGCCAATGCCATGATGAGGGCTTTTCCAATACTGATCCAGAAACCACAGAACCACACGGAAACCCACACCCCCTTCAGCTGCTCAGGCAGCAGGCACAGCCTGGGGTCGGGATGGAGCCTCCAGCACCCCAGCACCCAAGTGACTTCCTCACTCCTCTGTAAATGTCTTGGTGCTAAGATCGTGTCAACCCCAAGATGACACATGGTCCTGTGCTTTGGCCACCCATTTGAGGCAAAAACAAAACAGCCCGACACATTGTGTTCTGGTGCAGGTTTGTATTAAACTGTAGCTACTTCTCACTCGGTCTCAGTTGTGTTTCTTCAAAGAAGAGGGAGTTTGACAGGGGACCTCTTCTGCAGTGGCTGGGGTGAGGCTTCAGTTGCTAAGAAAACTCAGCTTTCGTTCTTCACTCATTACGTAACAGGTTGGAGCTCACTGTGAGGCCTAAGCAGAGTCGATGAAAAAAAGTTGAGAGACGGGAGCCTCAGTGGCCCAACAGCTCACAGTCAGTCCTCTTCTGGTGGGAACAAAACCAAGGTTTTTGGTGCCAGATGTCCCGGGACAAGATTGCTGAGTTATCTGAAACAGGTATAATTAAGAGGAAATATTAGATACAAAAGGGGAGAAATCTAGGTTTTCCCCACCAACCCTTTGGCGCCTGTTCTCTTGGCTACCATTTTGGAAACCCATAGCCCCTCTTCACACAGTGGAACCCTTGGCTGCTGGAACCATGGCCTCATAAAATACATAACAAATGGCCGTCCTAAGGCCACTATGTCTTTGAAGGGCCTTCAGGCCTGCCCTCTGGCTTCAGAATCCTCCCTTTTGGATTGGCCCACTGCACCTCAAAGCCCTTCCACCTGCATCAAGACCCCTGCACCGTTTCTCTAGCTCTCAGCCACATGTTGGTAGGGATTATCTAACCAAACACTTTCCCACTAAAGAGTGAGTGAAACTGCTGCTTCCAGTACTATGGGGTCACTTGTACTTATTTCTTTGCCCCAAAAGACAAAACCCTAATGAGAGAATTTTAGGTAGTGTGGGAAAACAGTTGGCGCCAAGGGAACTTTCTCAGCTCTCTCCAGATAAGCAACCCTCCTGCCAATAAGATAGGCCATGACTGAAAGAAATACCCGGAACTCTGTGGTTAGGACCGAGCACTTGGCTATAACGAAAAGAGCTGCGTGTACACCTCTGGTAGGTTTTCTGAGCCAGATGGAAAGACCATTATCCAGGTTTGAAGGTTGCCAAGCCCCTGGGATGGTACTGGGCCAAAGTGTCTGTGTTACCCTGCTTTCCCATAACATGGGAGCACACCAGAATTTGATTAACTGCCAAAAATCCGTTGTAAGTGTTTGGATGAAAAATGACATGGCCACACATTTGGCAGGCCATATGCATGCTATCAGGTGGTTTATAGCAAAAGAATAAAAGAAGATACCCGAGAAGACACTGGATGCTTTGAATGTATGTAGTTGTGGGAAAATAAAACAGGCTCAGACTTTAAAATAAGGTTTGATCATTTATAAGAATCTGCATTCGGGGAAACCAGAACCAGTCAGCAGCTAGGCAACCATCACCCTCAATTTCTTCACTCGGATTTGCAGGTTGACTTATACACAGGCACAACCTAACACTAAGAATTGCCTTGTAGCTGGTGGAGGAGGGAGAGTCTCATGACACCCAGTGATGGAGAAGAAACTTCCTGATACACAGGAGGATAGACCTTACGGTCCTTGTTTAATAAAGGCTGTTGAGAGTTGCTGATAACACATTTGAAAGGGCTCTTAGTACTTTCCCAGTAAAACATTAAAGGAAATCTAACATTTCGTTAACACTTGGCACCATCTTATGATGGAAGCTGAGTTCTTCACTTTCTTCCCCTCATGTATTTACAAATCACACATTTATACCTGAAGGGATCTTGTCCTGGTTTGCCCGGGACAGTCCTGGTTTAAGTCTGTCACCTCAGAATAATTACTAATGGTACGCCTTGCTCTTTCAAATATGTTCTGGTTTGGACAATAAATTATATGGTCACCTTATGTATGCCTGTATATTTATTAGGCTATTAATATGCCTGTCCAGGAGTTAAAATTTTTTCCATCACTGAAAGATAAGGGCCAAGGCATGGTGGGAGGTGAGGAAGATGGGTCCTTCTGCAGTGGGTGGGGACAAGGGTTTCCTGTGACAAGCCGAGTCCCCATACAGCTCTTGGAGCCTTCGTGAGGTCTCGGTGGCTCTGGATGTAGCAGTGTTGGAGCACTGGGGGCACTTTCCTAAGCTTTTCGGTTTAGCTTATAAATCTTATTATTCCATTAAAAGTTGCAAGTCTACCACATTGTATCATTTACCTTTAAGGGGCCTTTGATCCCATTTACAAACTTTATTAAACACTTTACAACATTTTAAACTACATTTAAAATTCTGTTTCCTTTTTTTTTTTTGGCTTAAGGAAGATTCACCCTGAGCTAACATCTATTGCAAATCTTCCTCTGTTTTGTCTGTGGGCAGGCACCACAGCACGGCCACCGACCAGTGGTGTAGGTCCACACCCGGGAACTGAACCCAGGCCACCAAAGTGGAGTGTGCTGAACTAAACCACTAGGCCACGGGGCTGGCCCCTATTTCATTTTTAAGTACTTTTCCTAAGTACTAAATAATTACCGCTCTAAAAATTAAGCTTATAAATATAGTGACCTTAGATGCTTATTAGATGTTTCACTTCACTGCTAAGCATAAACTTAGTGAGATTTTGACTTAAGGTCATAAGTTATACATTTTAAATTAATTATGACGTGCTTTCTCTAAGAGGTCAAAATTTTCTTTTATAAGTACATAAAATACCAAATATGCACAGATTCTCTCAATATAAAAATGTTAATACTATGGCTTTGGTTCTTTAAAACCTTTATTTTCTCGGTTCTACAGCTTCTACCAGATCTAAGTTCTCACTGAGCTTTGGCTATGAGTCTTGTCTTGATGGCAACTCAGCTCCTAGAGGATGCGAGCGTGGGCTGCTTACCAGCTCCACTCAAGTGGCTCAAATCTCCAAAGTTATACCAGATTTTCACTTTACCACTACCTGGCCCATCTACAGTAACTGCATAGTTATTAGTGCAAGATTTATATGTAAGTTATAGCCAAATGAATTCTGCCTCCTTTTAAAATTTTTGAATAAATTAGAACCTTTTATTTTAAGGTTTCCTTAAATTTTAACTTAAATTCTGTCCTTATATAGCTTTCTTTATAAAATAGACATTTTTTTAGAATAGTCTTTGATTTACAGAAAAATTGAAAAGATAGTACCTACATACCCTACATGCAGCTTCCCCTATTACTAACATCTTACATTAATAGGGCACATTTGTTAGAATTAATGAACCAATTTCTCATTAACTAAATTCCCATTAACTAAAATCCATACTTTGCTGGATACTTTATTCAGATTTCCTTGGTTTTTACCTAATGTCCTTTTCCTGTTCCAGAATCTCATCCAGGATACCTCAGTACATTTACTTGTCATGTCTCCTTGGACTCCTTTTGGCTGTGACAGTTTCCCAGACTCTCCTCATTTTTGATGACCTTGATAGTTTTGAAGAGTACTGGTCGGGTATTTTGTAGAATGCTCCTCTATTGGAAATCTGCTGTTTTTCTCAAATAAACGGTTAGCCTGGTGTTACAGGTTTTTAGGAGGAAGACCGCAGAAGTAAAGTGCCCTTTATATCACATCACATTAAGGGTATATACTGTCAACATGATTTATCACTATTGATGTTGACCTTGATCACTTGGATAAAGTCTAGTGTAGCTTTTTAAATTTACATTGTTCCCTTTTATGAGCTACAAGTTCATCTTGTTATAATATGCAACTTCCTTAAGCAACTAAATACATACATCATGCCATGTATTGTACTAAATTTTGCAGATGTTTGCTAAATGATTCTCCCAGTTAGGAATTTTAATTTAGTTTCCAGTCTTTAATTTGCCTGTGGGAGAGTAAGAAGATACCAGTATCTTAGAATGCCCCGTGATTAACAATACTCACATAAACACAGATTCTTGAGGTTTTATCTGAAATCATATTGACTCATGGATCAAAATTTAGGCATTTACAAATGCACAAACACTTTTTATTTTCACTATGTAACGCCAACTTCAGGAGGCCTTTGGATAAATACAACTATCCACTACCTTAATGCTATTTGAATTCAAACTTCCAAAATCTAATGAAACTTCTAGGAAAAAAACAGAGACTAAGCAGATAAAGTTAATATGCAAATGTTGGGGAAGCATATATTTTATTCCTTTAACAGTACAAAAGTTAAGTTGAGACTTTTCTATGGATTTATGTCATTTCAGATTATCTGAGTTTTACTGAATAAATTGGTAAAGGACTCATTTTTCCAATTGTAACATTTCAGTTACAATTTCCACTACTATCAGAATCTCGTATGTTACATTTACAAAAAGCTTTAGCTATTTTGTTTTAATGCAGAAATTCAAATTCTTGTTGAAATAAATGATGCTATATTCAAAATTCCTGATTTCACATTCTGTATTAATTTATCACCTCAGGGAGAAAAAGACAAAATTACATTTAAAAAAATTAACTCATTAAATTTCCCAGCTTTGCTATATAGTAGGCTTTAATCACCTTTTAAATTTGAAAGGCGATTAACACTGAATTCCCAAATTTGAAACGTTTCAAAACAGCAGTAAGAATTATCAATGATTCTCTTACCAAGGAAGGGCATGGAGATAGTTGGGTCAACTACCAACTTTCTAGAAAGGTCTTTGCTTTTTATTTATTGTTTGGCCAGTGACATGTTCCTATCAGGAATTTTTCCTTTTGAGCTTAAGATTATGCTAAAAATTTGGTTTAAAAACATCTTAATTTTCATAATTTTTAGGTTTACATGAATACATTTACACTATCATGACATCTTTCTGGCTTGAATCACAGAAGTGTGTTGAATACTTTTCTCGAAATGCAAATTCTTCACATTTTTACTATTAAAAGCAAATAATCATTCCTGAGACCCTTTTTCTTTCTACAGATTGACAACATGTTCTATGAATTACAGCCCTCCGAGCCCCTTTGGGGGAGACAGATTCTTCACTTGTAAATCGAAGATCACCTCACCGTGAAAGACAGTTGCTTACAGTTATGCTTTTTGAAATTTCATTGTCTACTCAGTGCCTCTTGCTTTCTTAGAATTCCTTTTTTTTTTTTTTTTTAAAGATTGGCCCTGAGCTGACATCTGCTGCCAATCTTTTTTTTCCTCCCCAAAGCCGC